ACACACTGGCTCACACACACGCGGTGCAATAACGGTGTTGCGGCTGCCAAAAAAAAGCCGCAAGAAGAGAGTAATGGAGAATTTGAATGAATGTGGATATGGATGTGTGGCAGGTGGAGAATATGGGAATGTGGGAAGACCAAATTAAAACGCAGACCCGTGAACGTGTGCGAACACGCGGAAAAAACAAATGCAATCTGTTTTTGCTGCAGGGAAATTCGGAAAAACGAAATTCAGCTGAAAAGCCGACGGCGACGCCGACGACGGCAGCGCAGCCGAAGCGCCGGCCGAAGTTGAGCCGAAGTCTTCGGCAGACAGACAATTGCGGTAAGCGTGCGTAAGCGGGAGCGGAAGGGCAAGCTGCTCGGCAGGAACACGAAGTGACGCGAAGTCACTTCGTGCCACTCTGCCGACGTCGCTGCCGCGCTCTCTCCTGCGAGGGAGCAGAGCTTTCCGAAGAGTCGGTGCTGGAGAGATGGACGAGCTCCTGCTGCAGCTGTTTGTCTTCCTGTTGTGCGCTTGCTGCATTGCCATCAGTAATTGACAAATTGCCTACATTGAAGCGCTAATTTTTCAGCAAGAGAACGAAGTGGGGCAGAGGGGGAGTGGGCATGGAGAAAGGAGAAAGTTAGAACCAATACAACAAATATATTTAGAAAAATCAGTTTCACTGACTTGACTTTGAATCACAATGCAGTTTCCTAAATATATTCGTTTTGGCAAAGCATTAAGCGATATAAAACCACAACAAAAGCAGATCAAAACTATATTTGAAGCCCTTTAAAAAGTTTGAAGTCCGTAGGAGTTCTAAACATTTGAAAACATGACTACCAATTGTATTATATTGGTTTAAAAGAAACCTGTATATAAATAAAAGTAAGAACAACAACATACAACAAAAAAGTTAAATAAATAAATAAATATAAAAATACCAAATTGGATTATTTTCCATTTTATAAACATAAGTTAAATTAAATTTAATATCAGAAGAAATGTCAGTTTAATATAAAAGTAAACCGTAATATGAAATTATTTAATTTGAAGTCTTAACATTAAATCTTTTAGTTTGTATTTATATATTTTGAATCCGTATCTGGCTGCTTGCATTCGTGTATTTCGTGCAAAATTCAAATACGAAGGATGTGCAACAGAACCTAAAAAGCTGCCTGCTAACATTTTGTCCTGTCACATTTTGCCCCAGTTAACATTTAGCGCCTAACAGAGATCGCTCCCAACTGCAGCGCTGTTAGCGCCGGCAGCGCAGTCGACGTCGCCAGCGACGCTGGCCGAAAAAAACGCGTTTTTGTGTCTGTGCAGAAGGCATTCACACCGAAAAGTTTTCGCCGCTTTTCCGTCGCTTTTCGTGCTGCACGTGCTTTTCACGTTTTCAAGCGAGCATCCCCTCTCTCGCCTTCCCACACTCCCCGCCGCACTCCTGGTCACTCTTTCGCCCTTTGTGGGGTTTTTGGCCTGCCGGTTTTGCCTTTTTGCGGTTAACAAAAATATTGCATATTAATGTGGGCACATTCATGGAAAATATTTTAAATGTAAGCTAATAAATACAACAAATCCTCTCAATCTGTTAGGTTCAAAAAAACCAAGGGTTATTGAAAAAGTAAATGGAAACTATATTATGTTGTATTTCTTATATCAAGCCTTGGCAGTTTATACTTTAACTTTACAAAATTTGTTTTTAATTATAGCCATTATTTTTAATGTATCCGAGCAAGCTGTATTTAATTAGACAGAAAATTAATGTATAAGTTTATTATCGGCAAGTTCCAAATGAAAATCGAAATTTCCATTTGCATATTAAGAAATCCCTTAAGGAAGGACCTAGTCTTAACAACATTTATTAGATATTTAAATCGATGTGCAACAAAACGTATTTGTTCACCTCTTGAGTTAAAATTAATTAAATATCTTAGCTACTCAAGAAACTTCAACTGAGGCACCGAAAAAAAAATGTAAAAAATTTAGGAAATTCCCGAAATTATTTTGAATAGGATTTAAAAAATGCAGCAACAAATTCAAGAGAGTTTCTCCCACAAACACATGCACACACACACACCTGAACATTTACAAAAAACACAAAAGGCATTTCTGGCTGTTGTTTCTGCTTTATTTAGGTGATGCAATCGAATGCCGCATTTCACCCACACACACACACACTCACACACACACAACCACACAAGCACTCTAAAATGTTTTTGTTGTTTACTGTTACGCGAAGTTTTCCACTTTTCTTTTTGTGTTGATTTTAGCACGAATTTTCGAGGTGAAAAGCGGCGCGTGTTAATGCACCACTTCCTGTTGGGCTACTGTACCGTTATTATTTTGTGTGGCATGCCGGCAAAAGAACGGCACTTCTCTCGCACACGCTCTCTCTCTGTCCCTCTCTCTGCCTCTCCGTTTACGATTTTCCGATTTAGCCGCTCGCAGTTCGCTCAGCAGAGCCGCATTTTCGCCGACGTGCAGCCGGAAAACTGCAATGTGCAAAACTCCGGGCATGCGATTTGAAAATTGTGTCGTCAGCTTGACACAATTTTCCAGAAAATGCGCCTGGAATGGAGCGGGGGATAGCCAGCCGAAAACCAGTAACAAAAACGGGAGCAATGATATAGGGGTTATTTGCGGGTAATCGGTGCTAAGGGGGTATAGCTTTGCAGCGGCGCATTACGTGTTTCGGGAGCTTCGGGTATCGGGAATCGGGAATCGGGATTCGGAATTCGGGATTTGGGACTCGGTTCTGCTATTGTTGATGTAGGTCTGGATTTTCAGGACACGTGTCCCCGGCGGTACTGCGTTGGGTGGTCCTGCGGTGGGTGGGCTTTATAATTGGCCGATTTTCGGCTTATCTCGAAACTTTTTAATTTTATTTGAAAATTCTATACAATTACATTAGATGCAGGTATTGCTTCATGGCAAGCAAAATAATTTAATCTGTCCCCACTATACTACATATGTATGTGTACGTGTGGGTGCGTGTGTGTTTGTGTGTGCGTGTGTGTGTGTAACTCTGGCTGTACGCGTTTGGGTGTGTGTGCGTGTGAGTTCAATAGCATTTTGGACTGGCAAATAAAAAACAAATAAAACCAAAAGTTTGCAGCTGCAGTGCAGTGAGAGAGAGAAAATGCCTCGGCGAAAGGGAGAGAGCAAGGCGGAAGTGAGACAGATAGCTTAACAGGCTGTTAACGTTTCGTGAGATTAAAGGAAAAGCTTTTAAGAGCCAATATTAATGACCAAGAGACTTTAAATCGCCCTGCAAAGTGATCGTTTGCTCCTAGGCGATCTGAAAACTAAAAGCTCAGTTTCATATTGTAGCCAAGACAACGCTAATTTTATGTCTCTACTTATACATATGTATACATACGTAGATATATATATACCTTATAGGTTCGGAATCACATTCGGCAATAATTATTTCTCTATATGCAGTTTTCACTCAATGACAAGTGATTTGATTCACTCAATATAAATAGAATCCACTCGACGATGTCCACTTTGTGGTGATCTATCGTTTAGGATCCACAACTCGGATAAGATTAGTAATCGGAAACGTTTCTGCTTAGCAGTTGGCATCATAAACCGTGTAATCGAGTACATTTTAATTTGATAAGCCTGAGTAAGCGCAATAAACTGACTTTGTTTGACCGAATATGTATAACTAAGAAGATAAAGTCTTAAATGGACGGGGTTGATGAGTGGAGGACTTATACTAAATTGTGGTAATTAAAATATCTGCACGTTAACATAATAATTTGGACATGATTATGTGAAAAGAATGTTGCGGTGTAACCTATAAAGCATACTTCTTCTTGAATATGCAATCGCTGTAGTAGAGTGCCTCGAATACCAGATACATGTTAGTCAGCTAAACAACAAGAAATAAATACGTTAAATAGTTCTAGATTGTACTAGGTGGTATGGTAAAATGTAAGAACATTAGCTGTAAAAATTAGGAAATACATCTTTATTTAAATACTTCACTTAACGCCATTAAATTATTTTATTTTTTATTAACGCAAATTTTGTCACAGTTGTATTTTTATTTTTTTGTTTCTCAGGGAATCGATTTTCTCCACTATCAGATACCTGTAACTCAAGGAAATGGATGAAAGATACCTGTAACTTCAGGAAGTGGGGAAAAGATTAGGAATTGCAAGCAGATGAGATTGCACATGAGATCCGAGGCAGTTTCATTTATTGAAATCGGACGGACAGAAGGACACAGCGAGATATACGAATACTATATATGTATATACTTCGGAAACGCTGCCTTCAACCTGTTACATACTTTTCATATTTGTATTATTTTCATATATCGATAACTCGTATTAGGTAATCAACAATTAACATACCTTCTTAATAAAGTTTTAACAAAGTTTTTAATTCTTTTATAACGCCAGGCAATCTCTACTCTTCTCATTTATATCCTTTTGCAAAGCCCCCAAACATCTTTAACAAGAAATATAAATCTCATAAATTACTGGTGGGATTGGTAAACTTTATTTACTCACCAGCTTATGTTTCATCACCGCCATTGTGCTTGTTTTTTCTTATATTTTATAAACGCAACAATTAAAATGATAGACGAAGCACAGTATGTCGATTGTGGCAACTGTCAACTTGCACATGAATGAAGTCCTGGCAAAGACGTCTTGCATATTTTGTTTATAAATATTTTCAAAGCCAAACTGCCCATTTCAATCGTTCCATAACCTCTACACATACGATGATGAGCCTTGTTGATTTGTATCCCATTTGTCCCTATGAATTAATTGCCTTGATCGATTGGAAATATTTCCTTTTCTGAGTTGCAAGCCACTGTCTAAAATCATAAATTAACATACACCCGTTATGAATATAGGCTCTTAAAAGTTTAAAATTCTATAATTCTGACCGAAACTGGTTTTAAATAAATACTAATGTGTGGCAGATCTCCATAATCGGCAAGTCCAGAAACTTGGGGCCAACCACTGGGTAAAAAGTGCGATAGATTCAGGCGACGCCTTGGAAGTGGTCTGGAATGTGACGTGGAAATATACCGGCGTACTCCTTCACTACGATCTCCATATATATGGGCTCCGTATGATCGTTGGTCAGGACGCGCAAATCGTGATCGCTGAGTCGCATGTAGTTTTTACTGGATAACATGAAGTCGAGAGGATCGTGCGACTTGTGCAGTTCTCGGACCTTCATGATGGAGCTCCTGGTGATATCTAGTCGTCGGTTGAGTACAGTCATCACCACGTGAATGGGGCAGGGCAGATCTCTGCTGACCAACCATAGAGCGAGGCTGTCCTCGTCTTCCAGACGAGGACCACCGAACCGCAACTTCCTGCCCTCAACGCTACTCAGCCGAATCCTGCAGATCATCACGAGCAGCGGCAAATGAGCGTCGAAATGGGCATAGGGTTCTGGTAAATCGGTGTTCCGGGTGGGCATGAATCTGACCGCGGGCAGGGTGCAGGGCTTATTCCGCACACCCCCGTAGCCCAGCACGGACATGCACTCAGTCTTGCCCGGCTGGAAGGCCCTGGGACTGAAGATCATTAGGACCTGTTCGCCCTCGAAGATCTCACGCAGCTCCTTTCCCGGCTCATCCAAATGCCGGGATACGAAGTGTCCCAATAGAGTGTCGTTCAGCACAGCCGGGCATTCGTCGTGGTTCAAAGGACACGCATGCGGCATCGAATTGGCCAAGACCGGCTTGAAGGCAATCCTCTTTTTCCGGAAGCGCTGGCGATACTCCTTATCCGACATGGCCTGCAGCCACCGCAACTGGCCTATTCGCAACTCTATGTCCTGCATCCTCTCGGCGCGACTCAGCTTGTCGAACTCGCTCACAAAGTACCGTGTCCTCTCCAGGGATTCGTCGGAGTCCTTGAACAGCGGCACACCCGAACAGCCCGCGTCCACGCGATCTATGGGCTGGTACTTCAGTTTCTCGGCCCGACTATAAAGACCGCCGATCCGTAGGTCCTGGTGGTGCTGGCCCCTGTTAAAATTGGAATTCTTCCACGCCTCCGTGAAGGTATCGTTGGAACGCAGCGGCTCCATTGTCTCGAAATCGGATTCAGCCACCGGTCTGTTAGACTTCTTCAAACACGATTTCTTTCGCTCCTCTAAGCGTTTCCCGGATACTTCCACAGACGAGCTCTCCACTGCATTAGGGGCATGTGCAACCCCAAAGACTTCCAAGGGCTTGGGTGTAAAGCCTCCATGTAATCGGAAGGTGTTCCCTTGATTACATCGATTCGATTTACCTTCTGGCCTACAAGTCACCCAACGTGAAAATAAAGACAACTTCGATCCGTTGAACGTGGTATTCCTAGTTTTCTTATTAGATCTAAATGATTTCGGCTCACCCAAGCCCCCAAAATCAGTATCCCATCTTGGTCTGGTTATTTCACTGCAGCTATGGAGTTCACGATTTTCGGGGCTTGGCGATTTCTTTTTGCCCCTACTTGGTTTTCCAAGAGTTTTGCTTGAACTACTAGCTGGAAATTTACCCCATTTATAAGGCTTCGTGGGATAGTGCACTGGTAATCGAACAGACTCTTCGGATGATATCTCAGCAATTGGATTTCGGATTGCTATTTTATGAGGCTTAAAATGCGAACGGCGGGAACTAACTGATGGCTCCTTACTGGTATATTCCCATGAAGATCGGCTCTGAAACTTGGGCGAATGCTGGTATAGCTCCATCCTTGAATATTGACTTCCATGTTCATCATCAAGTAAAGCTTCTGTTTCGTCATCTAGGTCAGTTTCAACTGGCTTGTGTTCCACGGGCTTCCGTTTTGTGGGTTTTCCTGAAAACAAAATCGATTTGGAGGTATTTTCTAGGGTGTTTCTTCTTTTGGGTGGATGATAATCAGCTCTATTCGATAGATTTCTTTCAGCCACCCATTCAGTTTCCTTAGTCAACCGCTCATCCAGTCCTTCAGTGCCAGCTCGATAGCCGCCCATGACTCTTCCCTCCAGTTCTTCATTTTTCTGGCATTCCATAGAGAAAAGCTCCAAGGAAGTGAGCGGAATTCCCAGGCACTCGAAATAAAGACTGCGCCGATAGAGATCCACAAAGCCTATGCCTGGATGAGTGGTATCCTCAGAAGATTGCGACATTTCCTCCTCGCTTTGGAAATTTCGAGCGATCTCCCCACCCACCTCTCGCTCTGGCTTAGCTTCGATCAAAGGAGGCGCTGGAAGGCAGAGGTGGGCCTCGATTTCGTGAACCAACTTCAAGTATCCATTGGCAAGGTTTTTCAGAACTCCCAGCTCTGGGTAATATAGACAAAATATACTAGAATTAGGCATACATTCGAAGGATGTAGAACATACTCTGCGGTGGCTTTGCAGAGTGTCCAGGATCCATGTCCGCACCGCCATCATCCTCCTTCTCCTCGGCATCCTGACCCTTCTCTAATTGGGAATTTTGAGCTCCCTGGCGATTCTGCTTTTTTTCGATACGAGCGTGGGTATTTTTCTCGGAGTAGCAGAACTTCTTGCCCATTTCATTTAAACTAATTTATAAACTTTATGAAAACTTGAAATTTTACCAGACTTTCACCGAGATCCAGCAAAAAAATTGCTTGCCATCTGATGGATTAAACAAACGAGCTACGATTGAAATGTTGTGCTGTCAATAAATATCGAATGGAAATTCGGTAATAGTTTCAAAGAATTTTCCCAACCATCTGAATGGGCTTTCTACCGAAGGCTCTTACTTTAAACTATATGCATATATACCACGAAACATTTTAATACTTCTGGAATTTTTCTCGCGGAAGATAAATTTTCAGTGACCGAACTGCGTGGATCAGCACACAACGTTAATTTTGAGCGTTTCTTAAGTATCTCTTTCAAATGTATATATAATATATCTACGTTGCGACGAACTTGCCAAGACGAAGATATATATAGTATAAAAGTATGTATGACAAGGCAAGAGTTCAAAGTGTGTAAGGATCAGAGTGAATCAGTAAGGATCAGACAAAGGTGCAATCGCAATTGGGTATTATTGAAATCTGATTTAGTTCCAAGAATGAAGCATTCGATTCTCTGAATACCAAAAATCAGTTTTTCCACTCGCTTGGCCAAAAATTTCGGTGGCTACTACAGGTGGTTGGTATTTCTCAATGAATCACTCATCCGGCTCAGATTAAGACCTGCCGAAGTTGCCGAGCCGTATAAACTTTACGGCAGTCGAGGGTCTCGAGAGCTCTTTCCTTATCAAGGAACAGGTGTTCCAAAAAAGAGCCGATCGCGATTTTATTGTGCCAGCTGCTCTGGGGCAATTCAACCTACGATAAGCCCAAGATACAAGCTCAGGTGTCTGCACAGGTGCAGTTCCTGTGAGGTTTGAAAGTAAGCATAGCTGTGCACCTTTGCTAAGAGCATGTGTAAAAATGATTAAGTAAAATAAACTTAATTGGCAATAGGCACAACTACCACAAGCTACAGATAAATTCGGTACAATAGGTGCAATACGACGTTGCCTATCAACTACGAACATTGTCTGCAAGCAATTAACTATCTGAGTTTAACAGCCCTTGACTATGGAGTGAGGTTTTCAAGGGACTTGGCTCCAGAATTGACCTTTAATATCTAATCGTTTTCCGATCACCTGTCACTATGCGAACATTCATATTAATCCGCGTGAAGATAAGATTCCTGCATACCCATTAAGCCCGCTTCAACACAAAACCCAAATGAATTCAGAAGCTTATCGCTTGGCGATAAGGCCGGGAACAAAAATATCGAAAGAAACTCAAAACTGGGGGAAATCTAATCGGTGGGTACTCCATCCGATTCTCGCCATTTAATGTGTTAATGGTCAGTGGATTGGGCTGACTTTGCTTCAGTTAGTGGCGTGCTGCCGGCGCGAATCGTTTTCACTCTCTACGAAGAGTGGAGTTCTCTAAATTTATTTATTTATATTTGTTTTTTTTTTATTGTCGAAATGAAAGTGATTCTTGCCTTTGTATGGCTAGTAGCCGGCGTGTGGTCGCAAAACGCAGAGTTGGGATGCATTTGGTACGGACAGAGTCATATGATAGGCTCCCATTGGGTGAATAAGGCCGACACGAATCCGGCAAGACCTCTAAATAGCCCAGCTGCAGAGGCCCTATTCGCCAAGCGATGTCCCCTGCTGTACAAGGAGTACAAGGGTGAAAGTGGCGAGGATGAGCTCAGTCTGTGCTGCGATGCGGCCCAAATCGAGTCCATGGAGGCCGGATTATCGCAGGCAGATGGCGTCTTCTCCAGGTGTCCCACTTGCACAAGAAACATGGCCCTGACCGTATGTGCCATGACCTGTGCCAAGAACCACACGCTCTTCTTGACCCCCTACAATGACATAAACGCGGAAAAGGTGGAATACGTGAAATACATCGACTATCGACTTACGGATGACACGGTATCGGGGATCTACAACAGCTGCATTGGGATACAGCACACCCAGACCGGACGTCCTGCCATGGATCTGGGCTGTGGCAGCTACAATGCCAAGACCTGCAGCTACCGTAGATGGTACGAGTTCATGGGCGACGTTTCCGGCGACTATGTGCCCTTCCAGATCAACTACAAGTGGTCGGAGGACGCGCAGGAGGGTTCCACTGAGATATACCTCGATCTGAGCCCGCTCAAGTGCGGCGAGAGTTACGAGGACAGCTACGCGTGCGCCTGCATCGACTGCGAGGAGTCCTGCCCGCTGACCGATGCACCCACGGGTCCCGAAGAGCTGTGGAAGATCGCGGGACTGTACGGGGTCACCTTTATACTGGCCCTGCTCATCGCCTGCGGCCTGTCGATCTTCATTTTCTGGGGTGCCTTTGGGAAGAGATCGGCTCCCAATGTCTGCATGCCCACCCTCTTCGGGGAGTTCTTCTACCACGGCTTCCGCATCTGGGGCACCTTCTGTGCCAAGCATCCGGTCCTGGTCCTGGCCCTCTGCTCCTGGGCCATCGCTGGACTGTCGTACGGCATTCGGTACATGACCATCACCACGGATCCCGTGGAGTTGTGGGCGAGCGAGCAAAGTCAGACGAGGATCGAGAAGGACTACTTCGATCAGCACTTCGGCCCGTTCTATCGCAACAATCAGCTGTTCATCAAGGCCATCAATCAGACATATGTGAGTAGCATCTGTCCACTTGAAGAATTCAAAAAGTGATCTCAAATCGCTTGTTTTAAAAATCACGTACATAAGATTGCATCTAGAAGTCCAGTGTTGCGTAGCTCGCTCAAAAGCCATCCTAAAACTCGACCAACATCTTCAATACTCTTTGCAGTTCACCCATGAAGCTCCCAGTGGTGTGCTGCAATTCGGTCCAGCCTTCGAGTATAACTTCCTGAAGGAAGTCTTTGAGCTGCAGGAGTCTATTATGAAATTGGGTATGGCGGACAACGAGGGCCTCGACAAGATCTGCTATGCCCCTGTGTTAATGGCTGGTGAAACGCCCACAGTCGATCGCTGTGCTATCCAGTCGGTCTATGGATATTTCCAGCACGATATGGATCGGTTTGAGAACTCCTATGTCGATAGCAACAACTACACCATTAACTACCTCAATCAATTGGAGGATTGTCTTCGGTGAGTCATGTATTTCTGAATTTCATAAATTATACTAATATAATAACGAGGGATAATTAGGTCAAGATAACATATACCACTTCGTGTTTTTAGAGTCCCCATGATGGAGGATTGCTTTGGCACATTTGGAGGACCCATCGAGCCCGGCATTGCGGTGGGTGGCATGCCCAAGGTGGCGGTGGGTGAGGATCCCGACTACATGCTGGCCACCGGACTCGTGGTCACCTTCTTGGGTCGGAACTATAACGACGAGTCCAGGCTGGCGCCGAATATGAAGTGGGAGAAGCTATTCGTTGACTTCTTGCGGGACTACAAGAGCGAGCGACTGGACATCGCCTACATGGCCGAGAGATCCATCCAGGATGCGATAGTGGAGTTATCCGAGGGAGAAGTGAGCACAGTGGTCATCAGCTATGTGGTAATGTTCGTTTATGTGGCCATAGCCCTGGGTCACATTCGCAGCTGTACGGGATTCCTCAGGGAGTCTCGCATAATGCTGGCCATAGGAGGCATAGTGATTGTCTTGGCCTCGGTGGTGTGCAGCTTGGGTTTCTGGGGCTATCTCGACGTAACCACCACGATGCTGGCAATCGAAGTGATTCCGTTTCTGGTGCTCGCTGTGGGAGTGGATAATATCTTCATAATGGTGCATACATACCAGAGACTGGACCACTCGAAATTTAAGACCACACATGAGGCAATTGGAGAGGCCATTGGCCAGGTGGGTCCGTCGATCCTGCAGACGGCGGGCAGCGAAATGGCCTGCTTTGCCATCGGATGTATATCGGATATGCCCGCTGTGAAAACCTTTGCCATGTACGCCGCCATCGCCATTCTCCTGGACTTTCTGCTCCAGATCACCGCCTTTGTGGCCCTGATGGCCATCGATGAGAAGCGCTACCTGGACGGACGACTGGACATGTTGTGCTGTGTGAGGAGCGGTAAAAAGAAGACCACGGACGTGGCCGCGGATGGCGTGGATAGACCCAAGGAGGTCGGCCTGCTGGAGACCATGTTCAAGAACTTCTATTCGCCCTTCCTACTGTCGAAGTGAGTGGATCCCTGGGCACCCAATGATATACTTATTACCTATATTTTAACTTTCATTTTAGACCCGTAAAGGTGACCGTGCTGCTGATCTTCACCGTGATTACATGTCTTTCGCTGATGGTGACACCCTCCATTGAGAAGGGCCTCGACCAGGAGATGTCCATGCCAAAGAACTCCCATGTGGTCAAGTATTTCCGCTACATGGTCGACCTGCTGGCGATGGGAGCTCCGGTCTACTGGGTTCTCAAGCCCGGACTCAATTACTCCGAGCCGCAGCAGCAGAATCTCATCTGCGGCGGAGTCAAGTGCAATAACAACTCGCTCTCCGTCCAGTTGTACACGCAGTCCCGCTATCCGCAGATCACGGCATTGGCCAGACCGGCCTCTTCCTGGCTAGATGACTACATCGACTGGCTGGCCATCAGCGATTGCTGCAAGTACAACATCACCACCGGCGGCTTCTGTTCCAGCAGTGAGTATCCGCAATATTTTAATCCACAAATATTTTAAGTCTAGAACTAATATGATTGCTATTTGTAGACTCAAAGAGTGAGGACTGCCTGCCGTGTGAACGTGGATTTACTGAGGAAGGCCTAAGACCTGATGCCGAAACCTTCAACAAATACATTCCGTATTTCCTATTCGATCTGCCAGATGCCGAGTGCGCCAAGGCTGGTAGGGCTTCATACGCGGATGTGAGTAGTACCTTAACTAGGAACTAGAATAATTTCATTTTCAATGAAAGCACTTATAGAGACATGCAGATAAAGATACATTTTCTTAGATCCACACTACGATTCAAACTACCACTCAAAACCTTGAATGTGAATATACTCGTAATTGAATAAAATTCCCTATTTCTTCTAGGC